GACCAAAAATCGCCCGACAGGGCGCCTCCCAATACGCCCCCAGAATGTCTAACGTCGCTTTTGGAACCGGTAAAACAATTCTGTGAAGCAACGTCGAGCACGCCCTTTCTTCCGCTTTCGAACCTTCAATAACGCTTCAAACCGCCTGCTATGACGGAAACGCCTCGAAAGCCTCGAAGAAGCCGATCTCTCACCTCCCACGGGTCCTTTGGCTGGTAGGTAAGGCTGGTAGGTAAACCAACGTCGAACACGCCCTTTCTTCCGCTTTCAGACCTTCCGCAACGCTTCGAGCATGCCCTCGGTTGCCTTCTCTAGCGCGCGCCCCCTTCAACCGGCGGGATCGGTGGATATTCCTCGGACAACATCTTCGGTCCCAATAACATAGAATTATTACCCAATATTCCTTAAATATATCAATAAATTCTTTAATTTGCCAAATAAAAAATATATTTAGTATTTATAATTTTAAACTATATGTATATTTTTTTTCTAATATAAATATTTATTATTATTTTTATTATATGTATATTATTTTTTATTATTTTATTATTTTTTTTTATTCACCGGTTCATAGCTTTGAAACCAATGCCACAGGATTCCACGGTGACGGACTCAGTGGTGGTGCCTTGGAGACTGGACATCTCACTGAGGGGCCAAGCAGCACAAGATCTCTCTATGCAGCCCTTCAACAGCTGACAGGCAGCGGGCTTACGCAGCTGATCTTTGTTCGAATCCGACCATCGACCTTGCAAAGGTCACCATTGGCTCAGGCCGTTGCAGCTCGCTTGATGAAATGAGAAAAGCCATTTTGGCACTCTCCTTGGGGAATGGGTCCAACCTCTGCTATATGAATGCAACTCTGTTGGCAGAACTATGGGCATGCTGCATGACTGACACCTTTGTTTGGCACGCAGTTGGAGAATGGAAAGAACCTTTGCTTCGATTGCTTTCGTGCAGCAACCAACATCAGGTCCTGACTGACCTCGGCTGTTTGAGCCAACTTTTACATTCATGGTTCACAAATCATGAACCGGGGACACAGCAAGATTCTGCTGAGTTTGTTGGCTGGCTTCGACATGCCATGCACGGGGATGAACATGGTGGCCAATCCACCTCTAAATGGGAGGCACGGCTAGAAGCGGCCACTGAGGATTCAGGCCAATTGTACGCTCCGATCCTCCTTCAGCAGACAAAAAATGGAGTGTGCACGATCCAGGACCTAATCAATCTTTGGCATGATCAAGCACCTTTTCACTGGGGTTTTACGCCAAATACAACCACCGTATGCCTTCAAGTGAATAGGTACCCTGCCATAGATGTTCGATCCCCTCAACCCATTCGCTGGAACCGCATTCCTGTACACTTGCCTTGTTTCGTCAATGCACACAGCTGGACAGTCCACTGGAAACGTTTTGAGATAGTTTCCGTTGTGGTTCACCGAGGCGCAAAACCTCACACCGGTCACTACCAGGCCTGTCTTCGCACCGGAGGCTGTCGCTTCCTGACTGAGGACTGGAGTCGAGCAATGCCATGTGCTCACACGACAGACCTTAAGCATGATTTGTATGTTCTTTGGCTCGTCGACAGCACACACCTCACAGAAGCATGGAGCTCACTCCTCGCATGCAATCCTTTCGTACCTTTTTCGAGCAATTATAACCACTAACGCATGATGCCGCCCGGGGCAATAGATGCGCTAGACGCAACCGATCTACGGATTAAAACCCAACACGGGCAAAGCTCTCTCTGCCGGAAGTAAATAATAAATATTTATATTTTCGAATTAATATATATAATTCTTTATTAATTTATATTTATATTTTATAATAAACATACAAAAATATATAAAAAAATCGATAAAATATTCTTAATTATTAATTGTTTTTAAAAAAATATATTTAATTAAACATTAATATATCCAATATATTTATATCGAATTTCAATTTAAAAAAAAATTTTTTTTTTTTTTTTTTTTCATTAAATTAATAGTTCTTTAATTTTTATCCAAATATATTTATATTACCACCCCCCAAAAAATTATAATAATATACATTTATAATTCATATAACTAAATTAATAAAATAATACATTAAAAATATCAATTAACAGATACATTTAATATTTCAATATAAATAGTAATTCAAATCATTATTCTGATATATAATTAAGTCAAATAATATAATTTTTTTTAAAACTATAATTACCTTTTCTCTATGTCGGAAGCAAATTTTCCTCCACAATTCAATGTGCCACTACAGCATTTGTGTTGACATGTGCGGGCCCAAAGGGATCAGACTTTGTCAGATCAGCTCGTAGTTGCATGGAATTACTATCTGACCATTGAGGATGCTGTTCAACATTGATGGTCCACATACCATTCTCCCCACCTTGCAAAGCAATGCGCGTAGCTTTCAGCCTGTCCTTCACTTTTGCTGACTTCCTGGCAACCTGGATGATGGCTATTTCCAGCTCTTTCATGCCTGCATGGTCTGGTGAGAAGCCAAGCCGTCTTAGAATGGGCCGTTGAACATCAAGCGCAACTGGCTTCAATTTAACTAAGAATGAGCGCTGTTCGAAAGCAGTTCGTCTAGCAGCTTCACGTGATGCTCTGAGAAAATCTTGGCTTTCATAAGCTTCCTGCAAATCTGACAATGCATCAAGAGCTTGAATTTCTGTAAGCTGCCTCTGTCGACGAACCGCCTTTGCTTTCTTGAGAGGATCTTTGCCCAAAATTTCACACATTGTTCTCCAAATCGCACCTGCCATCCTGCGTTTCAAGTAGTCTCCTTTCTTTGCACTGATTCTGTCAAGCAGCTCAGAAATAGCCTCTCCCACAGTCGGACACTCATAAATCAGGGACAGCGACACTGGTGTATTTGGAAGCTCCCCTTGCAAATGCCTCACCAAGTCCACGGCAGTGATTGAATCGACACCAACTTCGGCAAAGACTACATCCTCAAAGGCAGAAAGCAGTAAAGGGTCCAAGTCTTTCGGTTCAGTCTTTGCTTTGGCTTTGTTGGCTTTGGTCCTAGTAAGAACTGGCGGAGGTGTCAGGCCGGCCTTGGCCAGTGCTTGTCTGGCTTCAGCTTCACGCTTCATGGCATCAAGTGCACAGGACTTCCGATACCAAGCTTTCTCGTCGTTCTGATTGATACCCAATGCTGAATTCGAAGCACTCAATGCGACACGGGGAAGTCCGAGTCTGAGCGCAGCAGCCGACTTGTTCTTGAGCAATTCAGATCGAAGCTTGGAAATGGGACCACCTCCAGGTGCGGCTGATAGGAGTTTTAATCCTTGGCAACAATGCCAAAGAGCCTTGTCAAAGGAATCCTCATTGAAGGCAATAACACCTTCATGCCGTTCCTCCTTCCCTTGTCGGATCAAGTCATTAGCAATTTCATCAGTCCAAGGGTGAAGTGATCCTGCTTCTGGTAAAGGGTACAGCATCTTCCAAGACCATTCTTCGGCCGTAGCTGCTTGATCAAGGTCACCACTGTCGCTCAACAGTCTCAACGACTCGATGTCTGCCAGTAAATCTGCATCTTTCAACTGCATCATGAGCGGCACACCCTTCTCCTCAGCTTCCAGGCCCGCGTCATAGATGTGCCACTGGACGAAGCAGTATTTCCACATGGGTGCCAACTTCAGCCGAATCTCTGCCGGTGCATCTTCAGCAAAATCTAGAGCCAAGCGCTGCTTCTCAACAGGCAACTCATGTGCTTCTTGATTCAGGATCATTGGGTCACTGTCCCACCGGTTCTTGCTTGCCTTGTCCATGCAAATCTTCAAGGCACGGTCCCATCTTATGAACCGCATGGTGTTCAAGCTTGCCCGAGTTGGGATGAAGTGGGCGCGCCGGAACTCGCGACTTGTCGGGACTTGTCTGTAAATGGTATGGGAAAGTTAGCTTCCTCTTGCTTGCCTCTGAGATTGTGCAACACTCAACTTGTTTAAGACTGATCTCATTACTCATTACTGATATCTGTCCAACAAAACACACAACTAAATCAATGTGGACGCATACACACATGTACGCAATTTCAAGTGACCTGAGCCAAAGTCACACAAGGGTCATTACTGCATCACTTGGAACAATGACAACTGCTCTTTGTTGTGCTATCCTTGGCCCTTCCCTCTGTGAGTCAGAGCAACTTTTGATGTCGAATGCAAACTGGATTCTTCCTTGCAATTTGGAGACTCATGTCTACCTATTGTGTGCTTGCGGGTGATACACTACACCATTCTGTGCTCATGCTCTCAATGAAGATTCTCCAGCTCCCCCTTCCGCTCTCCTGAAACTTTCAAGTCTCACCTTTTCACTGAATCCTTCCACTTGACTCACCCAGAACTCAACAGGATTCGGTCCGTACTTCTGGTAGAAGCGCTCTGCCAAGAAGTGGAACCTTCAGCTGCATACCAGCGTATCATGCTCAGAGCATAAGGTCCGTTAAACTCCACTTTATAGTAAGGGAAACCCGAATGCTGATCTCCCAGTTGAACTGTTAGCATGGGCGGCGTGATCCATCCTTAAACAAAAGCAAAGCACATCGCTCCGACGGCAAAATCATTAGTCAAATTTGACTTGTGATTTGTGATGGTCGGCTCCCATCTACTTGAGGGTGTTCGTGGCTTGGCAGCCACTTCTCGCCGCAGCAAACTCTTTCATAGCATCTCGCAAACAATGGAGGAAGATACTATGATATTATATGAATATCTATGAATTGTTCCCGGCTGGTCACCAGTTGCACAAAAAGAATCAAATTACCGTGGTCACAAAACCCCCTGACACATTTTGAATTCCGAATGCCACCTCCTCTGTGGAACTCCTGAGAAATCTCCTCCAGGTCCTGAATGTCTTTTTGTTCCTTTGCATCCTCCAGAACCTGAACCATCTTAAACCTTGTCCAGACTACGACGAGTGTGTGCTGAGATTTTTTCAGTGGCTCTCGCTGCTGGATTTGGGCCCTATGAGCTCTAGAGCTCGACTTCACCCGAATAGACTGCACAAAAATAAACCATCTTCAAGGCTTTGCAGCATCCAAATGGCACTCTGTGGCCCTGTCATGCCATGTAATGTAGGAAACGAACAAACTCTAAGAGATGCAAGAGGAAGGCAAAAATAATACAGCCCCCATGAACCCTTCACCGTCCTTCTCAAATCTCTTGGACTTCTTTCATACTCTTTTCTCTATACTTCCTACATTTACTTCCAAACACATCCTTGAGGAGCTAACGGCGCATCCACTATTCCTTTTGAAGAGCACGTCTCGAATAACCTGGGCGATTTCAAGGTTCTATCAAAACTTGATTTCCGCAGTGCCAGGTCTTAGCTTCGAACTCGAGGCCTCTCTGGCTGCAGAACTGATGGCCCTGAATGCAAGTTGCGGATTGAACTCTCTTTCCAGCTGGAAGAAGGATCTCACTGTCTCACTACTTGATGAAACACCTACAGTATAGAAATGGATTGTCGATGTATGTCAACAATGGGTTCAAACATTTCAAATGATCAAAATGGATCAAAACAAGTTTTCTTTATACTGTAGCTTTTTGGTTTCGCAGCTCTTCTTTTGAATTAAAACACATCTTACGTTCATTGATGCGTTGATGCGGACAACCAGTGCATTGTCAACCTGTTCACCGCTTTGGGTGGAAGATGTGTGTCGGGTGTCGAACGCTGTTGTGTAACGTTGCACGCAGCTTTTTGTTTTGAAACAAGCAGCCGAAACCCATCACGAAGAAAGTATAAGAGTCAAACACGTGGATACTGGGACTGCAGAAAAATACGGAATCCCCCGCCAAAACCATGGCTTGAACGTGTGAACATGGAACAAACGTTGTGGAGTAAATACAAAACAACCTACAGAACCGAAGCTGGCAGCATCTTTCTTCTCTGACGCATACAGGTTGGCCAAAGTTACGCGGTGTTCGGGCCCAATAATATTCTTCTCCCATTTGCTGGCGACTCAAAACTACCTGAGAAGGCTAGCGCGAAAGCCAGCTCATTACATCTGTTCATTCCAACCGGAACACTTCGCGTGCAAACGCCAACAAAACTTTGCGCAAAGAGATTCACAGGCTAAAACTTCAACCTAATACTCCCGAAACGGAGCCATAGACCCAGCAAACGTCCAGCATAGAGACTCACAGGCCAAAACTTCAACTCACTCGAAAAGAATTTGCATGCAAGCGCCAAACAAAGACTTCGCACATCAAGACTCACAGGCTGAAACTTCAACCTGTAGTGCTCCCGAAACGGAGCTGCATAGACCCTACTCGTTCAAAAAAATATTAACAAACGCTCAATGCTCCCGCAATCCATCCATGGAAACATTCGTCCCTCCATCCATCCGTCCGTCCACTTATTCGTCCATCCCATACTGCCCATCTCACTGCATGCTATCCCACCATGCCCTTCCAACCCTGGCAGGTGTCAGCTGGATGCCAGTTGATATGTGGTTGAGCAAAAAGCGGCGCCAACGAGGGTTGTTGAGACAAAAACACTCAGCCAGATGCAAGGTCCCTACACACACAAACTCAAGATAAAGTACGTACGATTTGGTTTCGCCACGGCCGAGGCAATCGTCCTCGACGTCCGTGGCGGGAGCAGGAGGCAGAGCGGCGGCGAGGCATGATCTCCAGCGAAAAGAGAAGTTGAACGTGTGGGGAAACAAAGTGTGACATGGCTGGAAACCGTGTTTGGGTGGGACTTGAAAGACATGACAAAAACTCAAACAGGTTTGGATATGAAATATAATATTATGAGGTGGCAAGACAGAAGTAGTGTTTGTGGGAAGAATGACGAAAGATGTCAATCAAGAGCTAGTGGCGAAGGCAAGCGACATTTTCCGCCAGGATGGTCCAAAAGAATCCAAAAAGTATCTATACAGGAAGTAACAATCCGCTGCTGCAGTAACAAGAAGCTACTAGGGGCTCTTGGCCTTACTACTAGGAGCAAGGACGCTACTAGGGGCTCCTGGCATCGCTACTAGGAGCATTCTTACTATTAGTAACAAGATGTAATCCGCCGACCCCGGCCTAGCCAAAGCCTAGGCGGGGAGGCGCCCGAGACACCGCAGGGTGCAACATTGGCATTGGCATCTCTGCCTCTGCTTTCATGTCCTGGCATTGGCATCTCTACCTCTGCTTCCGTGTCCTGGCACTACCACCAAGCCGTGGGCGGTTCATGTCCTGGCCGAGCCACCACCCCGTGGGCTGTTGGCTTTTTTGAGCCGGGGCCTTGGGAGTGAGCCTCTGGCAATGCCAGGCAACTAGAGCCCTCACTGCGAAGCCCGCTGGTTTGCTGCACGCGTGCACCCCCCTGAAAGCTGTGGCGACACAGATTGGCGGAGCCTTGGGAGTGAGCCTCTGGCAATGCCATTATGGGCTCCCGAAGGCGACGTGCCACGCAACGTGCCAGGCAACGTGCCAGGTGACGTCAGGCATTTTGGTTGGCTGCACCCCCCCCCGTTCCGACCGCTCTTGTGGGCAGAAATAGATGGTGTCGTTTGCCACCCCGGAAATGCGCCGCTGCGGCTGCATTCTGCCTACACGCACACCTCAGCCGGGAGCCTTGGGACGGAGCCGCTGGCGCACAGATTGCCGGAGCCTTGGGAGTGAGCCTCTAGCAATGCCAGGCAACTGTTTTATGGGCTCCCGAAGGCGACGTGCCAGGCAACGTGCCAGGTGACGTCAGGCATTTTGGTTGGCTGCACCCGCCCCCCGTTCCGACCGCTCTGGTGGGCAGAAATAGATGGTGTCGTTTGCCACCCCGGAAATGCGCCGCAGCGGCTGCATTCTGCCTACGCGCACACCTCAGCCGGCAGCCTTGGGACAGAGCCGCTGGCACACACGAGCCAACCCAGCCCGTGGGCTGTTGGCTTTTTGCCACGCGCGCGTGCACCAGATAGCTTAACTTTGCTCAATATAGGCACGCGCACGTTCCCTTGCCGGAGGCCTTCGGTTGGTAACGCCGAAGGTTATATACGCTCGCCGCCCCTGCCGCCGACCCTTTTGTTGGACCGCGTACGTGTCGACCCCGTGTCGACCCCCGCCCGAATCCGGTCGACAGATTTATATGTATCGTGCGCAGGATGTTCAAAAAATGTTCAAAAACATCGTTGTTTACAGTGTTTCGTGGCCTTCGGCGGACACGACTTTCGCCTAACAGGGCGCCGGTGGTGTCGGTTATGCGTTCCGCGTGGACAGGCTTAATCGACATTTCGTGGGTGTTGGGCACATAAGTTGCCTACCGTATCCCCAACCTAGGCCCAAGATAGCCAACATATGCCCAACATAGCCTCCAAGATGGCTCAACATAGGGCCAACATAGGCCAACGTGGGGCCAACGTACGCCAACATAGGCCCAACGTAGGCCCAACCTAGGCCAACATCGGCCTAACATAGGCCGACCTAGGCCCAACATAGGCTCAACTTGGGCCCAAGATGTGCCCAACATAGACCACATGGGCTCAACTTGGCCCAACCTAGGGCCAAGATGCGCACCAGATAGCTTAACTTTGCTCAATATAGGCCCCACCAAGTCTCAAAGAGAGAGAGAGAGAGAGAGACAGGACCCAGCCCTGCGCATACCCAAACCCAAATAGGCCGGCGCCCGGCTGTCAGGCGTAAGCCTCATAAATCCGGGCGCCGGCCACAAATGCCCGGAGGGCCTTCGGTGGTAACCGAAGGTAAAAGACGGGCGCGCCCCCTGCCGCCGACCCTCGTCACCAAAACGGGGCGACCACCGGTTCACTGATATCAACGTAATTTACAGTGTTTCGTGTGTGTGAGGTATAAAAAACACTGTGTTTTACAGGGTTTATTGCGCATATCGAAGTACGATGCGGGGAAAAGGGAAAAATGCAAACGTGCTGTGTTTTTCAAGGGTGGTGTCGGTAATGCGGGCCCGGCGGACAGGCTTAATCGACATTTTGTGGGTAGAGGCCCTCCAGACGACGTACATTTCCTAACATATCCTCAACATAGGCCCAAGATAGCCAACATATCCCCAACATATGCCCAACATAGCCTCCAAGATGGCTCAACATAGGGCCAACATAGGCCAACATGGGGCCAACATAGGCCCAACCTCGGCCAACATAGGCCTAACGTAGGGCAACATAGGCTCAACATAGGCTCAACATGGGCCCAAGATGTGCCCAACGTAGATCACATGGGC